CTCACGCAACCACTTTTTACTATTTTTTAAAAGAAAAACTGTCCATTTTAAAGGATGCCATCAAGAAATTCTAACTCTTGTAAATAAGATTTATTCATTTATATGATCTTTGCTGGTGGTGAAGCAACTTAAATTTTAGAAACTATTTTCTACTTTAGTTATTATTTTACTACCATTTTGTGAAATCTTTCTAGACGACCCTTAAAGTTGACAGCAATAGTTTTGTCTATCGTAACATATTATGCATATAAGTATTTCTAATTAAATCAGAAGTTTAAATGCAGTGTTCCTTTAATCCTTAAATGGTAGGACATCTTCAATTATTCACAGAAGAGATATTTATTTCATATTAACTAATATGTATTTCCCTTTTTTCATACAAGAAAGCGTTTTTCATTTAAGGACCACTTTTAATCGATAAACATTAATAGTTCAAAATAAATGATAGCTTTAAATAAAATCTGAACTCAATCATATCCGCAGATTCAACTGCAGATCCAATAATCCAACTTCAACCTCTACAACTACAATTTTGAAGTAAAGTTCGACATTTGAAACTAATAAATCAAGCGTATCCCCACGCTGACCATCAACACTCATCTGCATTCACAACTAAAAATTTCAAGCACACATAGTTTAGATCAAGTTGCTCCTTTTATTTGCATTTGTTTTTATTTATTGCTTGAATCTCTTATCAGCAACCACCAAAGACTGCTAACAATAAAGAATTCCTGCAAGGAATAAATATTTCATGACGGATGGGATAAAGTGCCCAGCATGAACCACAAGACAGGACAAGACTGAGCACTCATCAGTTAAAATTAAACGAAACTAACAGGAACCCTTCGCTATTTTATACGGTTATGATTCTTTGTAGAGGTAGTGATATACTAATTAATTTTACAATCCTAAGCAAAGAACTATTTCAGATCTGCAAGCAATTTATATTTAAACTTGATGTAGTTTCAAATGAATTAAAGGACACAAATGGATTAAAGGAGATTTTTGAGAACTAGTTCTTAAAATATTTTCACTTTGTTCTAAGAGCTCAAAACTTTTAAGCAAATACAAAAATGAAAGTCAAAACTTTTACCTCTTGAAAAAATATTACGAAAAAAAATTCAACCTATGCGACTCCACGCACGAGTTTCGTTTGACGAAGGGAGGGTGGGTACATACTGTAATAATGTATGAGGTTTCATGTATTCGTGCGACGACAAAGCACAGTGCCTGGAACAGAGTGCGAAAAGCATAGCCACACAATTATGTTGCCTACTTCCACAGTATTGTCTACAGAAATCACGCACGGCCTGGAAATAACTCCCCTTTCTATTTGGTCGGTGGGGTAGGGTGTGCCCCACATGTGAGCTTTCCCACGGACAACTTTAGCCAAGTCTTTAATTTCCGAATTCAGCGTACATTTTGAGGCTAGACGAAAATTTTGAACCGTTCGTTGAGGGTGGAAAAATCAGCTTCTCAAAAAAGAGTTGGACTAGAGTTAGCGAAGCTCTTGGTGGAAACTTCTTTAACCACTACTCCTTTCGCTCTCCTTTTCTTTCTCTTTATTTTTTTTTTATTCAAAGCTTTTCCTTTCTCAACCAACCCTTGCAAACTTTTTTTCCCCTTTCCTCTTCTGGCGCAAATTTTTGGCGGGAAAAAGATTAATGAGCTAGAGAAATCGATAAATTTTAATTAGCAGTTTTATCGGGTGGTTGCTATTCCTGACATTTAATACCATTCCGTGGTAGGGAAAATGTGTAAGCGTTAAACCTCTAGCCTTGAAATAATTTATGAATCCCTCCTTTAGCGCAAAAGGGGGATTTTTCCAAGGGAAAAAGAAAACTAATCGGATGTTGTGATGAGTTCGTTCGAATCTTCTATCTCAAAAAATGTAATAGACTTTAATTTACTTCGTCTCTGAAGGAATTTATATAAAACTTCGAAAACCGATGTATGGACTGCCTTAAAATTCTTAATAAGTAAACTGTTCTTTATTTTTTTAGTAGATAAAACCAATAAAAATGTTAATCGTAGCGTTAACATGTCATTAATCATCGTAACAAGGTAAAATTTGAACAACATGGAACACAAATTTATGAAATAATGAGCAAAATATAGTTAAAAAACACTTTTTTTCTACCTGAAGTAGAATTCTAAAATATCGTCTTGATAATTTTGAAACATTATGATCGCTGGAAGTCTTAATAATCACTGATCAGTAGATGTTATACATCAGTAGGTATAATAAACTAGTCTAATTAAAAGATTAATTGTAAAGCTACAAAATAAAGATTTATGCGCCACTAGGTGTAATAAACTATTATAATTAAAAGAATAATAGTGATGCTACAAAATAATTAAATATCTATTTATATACAAATAGATTTACTATCAGTGAAATAAAGATTCCTACTTATTTCAATTTACAGGCAAATTCTATGCTTAAATAGTGTTAAAGTGTAAATACCCTACAACTTAAAAAAAGCATTGCTTTACTGTCGTGGACACAATTTTTTGGAAGACCTAATACATTGTTATAAAATGTTTTTCTTTTGAAAATGCGGTGGATTTTTTCCCTGAATGAGTTAAAATAGGCACATCTACTGCGAAAAATTTTGGTGTATAGTTGCACTATTTCTGATGTTTATGCAAACTAATTACATTTTTAAGTAATTACATTTTTAATAAACGTGAAAAATTATAAACTTTAGAAAAAATTAGAAAATTTACGAATATGTTACTAAAAATGTGTGTATTTTTATACTATATATTTTTGCATAAATTGATTCTAATGCGCATGAAAATATGCGTTATCAGTAAATAAATAAACAAAAAATTAATGCATAAATAAATAAAACTGTAACTGTTAAAAAGCAAATAAGGAATGTAATAACTAGGGGAGAAGGGGGTACAGTGGGTCAGGAGGTACAGTGGGTCTGTGAAGATATTTTTGTTTCAGTAAATTGTTTTCAGAAGAAAAAATTTTGTAAAGTAGGCACGAAGCAACTCTACTCTGTGGAAAAAGGTAAACAGCTCAATTTGATTGTGGTGGGAAGAAAGAGTCATTTTATTTTCTGATCCTCTGCAGGAAATTTGAAGTAAGTAAGACTTTTTGTTATTACACTTTAAATTTTTCAATGAAATATGAGTTATGTGGTATGTTTATATAGTCTAACTGATCTCATTTCGTATGATATTTTATTTAAATGAATATTTTGAAGAGCAAAAGTTTGAGGTGAAATATACTAAAATGGTACATGTGGGGCACACTGGGTCACTTGAAATGGGGTACAGTGNTAAATAAACAAAACATTAATACATAAATAAATAAAACTGTAACTGTTAAAAAGCAAATAAGGAATGTAATAACTACATAGATTGAAAAAACGTTTTAGTTTATCTCAACACCAAAAATGATTGCAACAATGCACCGAAATTTTTTAACTCAATTAGTATGTTCGTTAAGTTTTTTTCTTCTTTCAGTTGTGTTTATCACGTATGTATCAATTCTCTCAGGACTATATGAATCACGAATGAATTTAGACGCAACTTTTATTTAAATAAATAAATAAAAATTGCTGTAAAAGTTTAGGAGCTCATTCTTGCAGCTAGCACAATTTCAGTTGTCGATTTGGAAATTGCAAAAGTAAAAATGTGATACTTATGCTGTTTCAATTTTAACTTGATTTCTCTATCGAAAGTAAGACTTTCATGACTGCATACCATTCAAACTTAAGTAATTAAATTACGATTTTTGTACCTAAATTTTTTCTATTATAATTCATTTCAACTTAAATGAGAGATCGTTGGTATGAGTAAAATACACTTTCAAATTAGCCCATTAGGAAACTGCATTCGTTTGAAAGTTTTTTACAAGCAATACGATAATATATATTAATAATCTAAATATACCTATCTATGCCTGGGGTTAGAAGATGTCTAAATCCCAGCTCCACGAAGGACTTTAACTTATTCAAATAAATATGCCTTTTAAAGCTTCAATTTCAAGGTGTTTGCATAAGGGCACCTGCCTCTTCAACTAAGTTTTTTTGCCATAAGCAACGAATGAATTAAGTCTGAGTAGTAAAGTTCAAAGATGAACTCTCATTTCAAAACAATAACAAAATTTATTTTGGTACATTAGGCTTACATCTGTCGTCATTGAATTCTTATATCAATCTATATTACATTTTCATTATAAGACGCCATCTAGTGGCTAATAATTTTATCAGCTTCTGCACTCTTCCCCTCAAATGAACTGAAAAGTTCATTTAATTTCAAATTGTTATTCCAAATTATCAATTCTAGCTAACAATAGCGAATGTAAAATACAATGAAAATTAATTTCAAATTACTTAATTGAAAAATTATATTTAACAACATTTTCTTGAATTAATAAAATTTTCTATTTTATGAATTTTAATACAATTTCACTAAAGCATTTACCAAATATGTATTATTAATATGCAAAAGGAAAAAAAAACATTAAGTAATTTCTAAATTATACAGCAACTGCAATGGAAGGTAAATAACTCCACGGGGAGTTTTTATGGCACAAGCTCTTATATGACCATCACGTTCTGGATATATCTTTATTACCTTACCTAATTGCCAGACTTGTCTCGGTTCTTTTCTTCCACCTGAAAGAACAATATCATTAATTTTTATGTTGCAACCATTAGTAAGAGAAATCATATGATTTGAATCCAGTTCGAGTAAATATTGCTGTTTCCAGCTTTTCCAAAAATTTTCAATCTAAGTTTGTTCATATTTTAGTCTTTTTCGAAAATCAGTTCTTTCAGGATGACAGTTCTTTGATGACAAAGTGGTAAGTCGAGGAAATGAGCAGGAGTCAATGGAGTAGGTTTCAAATTATCATATGTGTAAGTCAAAGGTCGAGAATTGAGTATTGCTTCAATCTTGACTAGGACAGTTGTCAACTCTTCATATGTAAACAAGGCTTTTCCTATTATCTTCCTTAAAACATGATTTTACACTTCTCACCATTCGCTCCCAATATCCCTCCACCGGGAGGCAAGGGGAGCAATATATTTCCATTCGATCTTTTGAGAGCTAAAATATTCCTGTAATTCAGATTTCTTGTTTAACCATCGCTGCAATTCTTTATCGGCCTTTTTAAATGTAGCAGCATTATCGGAATAAACAGTTCTGCAAAGTCCTCTACTGCCAATAAATCTCTTGAAAGCCAATATAAAAGTTTGAGTTGTTAAATCAGATACAAGTTCCAAATGAATTGATCGAACTGAAACCCAGGTAAATAAACAAATGCAGGCCTTTTTGGAAGAACCAAGTTCTTTGATAAACTGGGGTCCGGCAAATTCTATACCGGTAACATCAAATGCTGCGCACATGTTCATTCTATCAGCAGGAAGTGGAGCAGTTCTTTCCAAAAATGCCTTAACTTTGTCTCTTTTGCAAATTAGACAATTATTCAATATTTTCTTCGTCAATTTTCGCGCCTTTATGATGTAATAGTTAGATCTTAACTGCGCTAAAGTAGCCGTTAATCCACAATCTTTCCTGGCACGACTTAATGAGAGCAATAAGAGCTGAAAGTTAGCTATCATAAGGCAATAAATTTGGATGTCTTTCATCTTCTGTTATTTCTGCAAATTGTAATCGCCCCCGGACTCTTATTGCACCATTATCGTCCAGAAAGGGATCAAAAAATTTCATCCGGGAATCATTGATAAGTACTTTACCTACCACAAGTGTACTTACCTACCACAAGTTTTAGGGCTGATTCTTGAACACGAGTTATCCAGAAGGTTTCTGCTTCAGACATTTCAGAGGAATTCAAAAACTCAGTACTCTTAGTTTTCATTTTTAAATTGTGTACAAATCGTTTTATCCATGCTGTTACTCTGATAGTTTTATTTAGAGTCCTAAACAGTTTTAAATCAACGAGATTTTCCTCAGCAAAAATTAAGAGAGAAACGTAAGATTTAAGGGTGTCTAAATCAAGAGTAAAGTTATCGCTATCTGAAACAATATATGGAGCATGAGGCCAATTTTCTTCTCTGTGCAACCACTCAGGACCAGACCACCATAAATCACTGGTAATCAGTTCTGATAACTTTCTACTTCTGGTAATGATGTCGGCTGGATTTGTTTGACCAGGAAAATGATGCCAAATTCCTGAGTCAGTCAAAGATTGAATTTCTCGCACTCTGTTGGCCAGGTTGGCTTCCACCTTGAAGACGAATCCCTAATCCAAAGAGTGCAATGCTTGAATCAGTCTAGCAATGATAGCTGATATTAACATGTATATTTTGAAAAACTGGTTTGATATGAGAAATTAATCTAGCACCTATTAAAGCAGCACTTAGTTCAAGCCTGGGAATCGTCAATTTCTTCAGCGGTGCTAATCTACCTTTAGATAAAAGAAACTTTACACTGATGTCATTATTGGTGTCTGTAAACCCTAAGTAGATTACGGCTCCATAGGCAATTTCACTACTGTCTGTGAAACAATGAATTTGGATGGATTTCATATCTTCGATTAAAGTTGAATCAAAATAATAACTTGAAATTTTGAGACTGTTAACCAAAGGTAATTCTTCAAACCAAGTATCCCATTGGTGAGCTATATCGACTGGTAGCTCCTCATCCCAGTGTATTCTTTTTTCCCAAAGTTCTTGGAAAAGTGTTTTCAACCGCATTGTAAAAGGCGATGAAAATCCAATAGGATCAAAAATTCTTCCAGAAGATCGAATAAGTGTTATTTTTGTTTTATCAGAGTTCTTTATAAATTGGATGAGATTAGTTACCTCAAATTTAAAATTATCCTTGTATCTATGCCAAATATATCCCATAACCTTTATTAAAATTGTTTCATAATGATTCTGAATTTCTCTTGGATTAAATTCACTTTCGGAATTTTCCCACAATTTCTCTAGTTTCGGAGAATTGCTCTTCCCTTTCATAAGTTTCATGACAGCTTCATCCATAATTAGATTGGCTTCTTTCGATATCTTAAGCGCTTCTTCATCATTCGAACACCTTGATATAAGTTCATCTACATAGCATCATTAAATATGTTACATGCTTCAGGGTATTTATAGCAATATTTTTCTACGTGCAACTTTATCGCACTCACTAAAAGGAAAGGACTGGATGTAACATCAAACAAAACACGCTTCACGCAAAGAATACTTGGTTGAATTTCAGATAAATTTTCTGATAACTTGTCTACCCATAAAAATTGCACAACTTCTCGATCAATCTCATTAGGTGAAATCATCAAAAATGCCTTATCGATGACAACGATGAATGCTATGTAGTTGAGTCTAAACTTAAGAATGGGATTTAATAAGTCAGGATTTAAGTTTGGTCCAGAATGCAACAAATCATTTAATGATGGGGATTTCGGAGGATGTGACGAAACGTCAAAAACAATTCTTAGTTTAGTTGTGTTTTTATCCTTTCCAATCTTAGGATGATAGGGTAAGTAGTAGACAAGTTTCTCAGTTTTATAATTTTTACCAGCGGCAGTTTCAACAATTCCTAATCCTAAATATTATTCTATAACTTCATTATAATCCGTATACAAATGGGATCTTTAATGCATCTACCAATCAAGGAACGTAATCTTTTTTCGGCATTAAAATAATTGTCATTCAAATTAGCACTATCGTGTTTCCAAGGAGGATTAACTTCATACTTGTTATCCTTAACATTTAAATTTGACTTTAAATTTTTATAGGCTTCATTATTGGAAATACTTTTATTAGAAGTTTCATCCTTAATGCCGATCGATTCCGGTTCCCAAAGGGATTTAATATAATTTGATGCTAAATTATCCTCTCTATGACCTTAGAAATAATGGCATTCAAAACATTAACTGATTTTAATTCATTTATTAAGGGGATTTGGGAAACTGGACCCTGAACGGCCCATCTCATTTGAGTTTCGATTAACATCAAAGAAGAACTTAAGCGTTTCGTTTTTAAAGTCACTATTTTCAAAAAGTAGTTTGATCCAGTTAAAATATCTAATTTTTGTGGATGATCTCCACAGTCTGAAAGTCTAATGTTTAAATAATCAATTTGCTTACTGAATTCTTTACCAGGAGCTTCAATGAATGCGCCACAAATTTTGGAGATTTCTAAAGCATCAATCATAACAAATTTATTCGTATCATCAACTTAATACAATTTGAATCGAAATTTAGATCTAACATAGTTAATTGAATCTGTGCCGCCAAATGTATTTAAATTAATTGTCTCTTTTCCAACTATGAGTAAAATTCATTTATTGCTAACTTGTCTATGGATAAATGTTCTTTCACTGCCTGAATCTAATGAACACCGAACTGTAAGTTTTTCATTAGAGGTAACAATAACAGCTTTAAATGTTGACATAAGATTAGTTTTATCATTTGTTTCATTTTTAAGAGCAGGAATAACCAAGGTAGCAACAATATTTGTATCAATAGCACTCATTTGGGAATTATTATTTTCTGTCGAATCAATTTTATCACATAAACCCTTTCTATGATCTATTAGTACATTCTACATTTGCATGACGATTTCGTTATAAATGATATTTTTTATAACAAGAAAAACATCTTCCTTTTTGCTCTAACAAATTTTTCTCTTGATTTAAATTATAGCACTTGCAATTATCAGATACATGATTTCCTAATTTATCACGAAAAATACAAAAATTTTCAGTTGTAGCATTCAAAATGGCATTACTTTGTCTTTTATCCTTATTATCGAAGCAACTATTAAATTTATTCAGCCTATGCTCTTGCGGTTTAACAAATTTTTTTATTTTATTACTTTCGCCCTGCGTTTCCGCCAAAAAATATGTGCCCTTGCGAGATTCAACTTCTGTTTTCAAAAATGTTAATAAATCGCTGATTTTATTTTTATCTGAACTGTGATTTCGTGTAAATAATAAAATAATATTATTCGGAAGTGCCTTGATCAAAATTGGAAACAAAAGTGTTCCATAACTATCTGGTTCAATACCAAGTCTTTTCAATGAATTAATTGGTAAATCACAAATATCATGAATATTCCTCAGCGAAACCACATCTCTTGAACTGCGACATGGCGCCATATGCAACAGCGTAGTGTATGTCTGTCGATAATTAATTCCTTACGCCAGAACCTTTCTTCTAATATTTTAATTGCTCAATCATAATTTTCATCTGTTGTTAATAAACCAGTAATCGTTCTTTCGCCATCTTTGGTCAAATACGATTTCAAATAAGAAATTTCTCTACTTTAGACAATGAATTATTTTCATGAATGGAAATCCTAAATCTTGCCCAAAATTCAGGCCATTTAATTGTATCACCATCAAATTGTTCAATAATTAAGAACGGCAATTTAATGTTGTTGAATTTTCTTCATCATTAATGTTTATGGATGAGGCGTTATTAGATTCCAATTGCGTAGAGGTTAGTTTTGTTTTAGCTCTATTTAATTTATTTTTACACAGTAATGTGTTCTCTTCATAATTTTGAAAGGAAGTTAATTAACGTTTCCAAATCTTCGGTTTTCGTTAAATCAAAAAATTTTGCATTCAGTTCATTCAAGTCTTTTTCTTTTTCAGATAATAGATCAAAACAATCGATAATGACCTCAACCTTTGAGTCTGTATTAATTAACATAGTATCAATTTTATTTATGAGTTTAGTAACAGCTGTTCTATTTATGCAGTATATTTTTCCATTTTATATCAATGTCGATTCAATATATTTACAAGTAAGTAAATCAAACGCTCACCTTTTCAATCGGTTTCTCGGGTTTCTTGCACCAGTGTTCAGCTCTCGTTTCAAAAGAATAACAAAAATTTATTTTGTCACATTAGGCTTACACCTGCCTTTATTGAGTTCTTAAATAAATCTATATTACATTTACATTATCAGACGCCATCTAGTGACTAATAATTTTATCAGATTCTACGTGAGTTAAGGTATAATAATGTGAACTATAGACAAAAAAAAAAATCTGAATAATATAATATAGTATTTGGAAAAATGAATATTTACAAGTAGTGGATCGAATCGAATCGAGTAGTGGATCGAACAAGGAAGTTCTCAAATAATCAAAATCAATAACTAATACCGGATATAATATACCTACAAACTAACTATTCAAGTATTTTAGGAGTGCCTATCCTAGGCAGCTCCTTCATCGAGTTTAGGTAAAAGGAAGGGAGGTGCGGTACTTAACATTTGTTAAATCGCATATAAATACGATTGGGAAATCAAATCTGGGTTAAATATAATATAAGTCGCAAATAGTGCATAAGATAATAAAAACAATAAGATATTTACAAAAGAAAGGATATTTACAAATGGGGAGGACTCCCTCTGCACTCCCTCGCCTCCCCCCGGTAGCCGGGCTTCATTGTTGCAGAGTTTGTCCAGAAAGATTAACGGAAATGCCTAGATGGAAACGTAGTCGCTCCGGAAAAAAGCGGTGATCGGGCAGAAGTTTCTATTGTTTTCGATAAAATCAATGTCTAATAGCTTGTTAAAATCGCATGTAGAGCAATTTTTTGCATCTTTAAAAAAGGTAGCATTGAGTTTGTATAGGTATTCATCGATTTTGTCTATTTTAAGATCGTTGTAAAGTGTGTTATTTCGAACAAACCAGGGAGCCCCTGTGATTCTTCTCATAACTTCATGTTCAAATGTCCTTAGTCTTTTTTGTTGGGCGTTTGAGAGAGTCCCCCAGGCCGGGGATGCACAGCAGAGTATCGGTCTGATACACATCAGATATACAGTAGAGCATCGTTTATACGACGATCACTTATTTAACGTTTACATTTATACGACGTTGATACGTCGGTTTTTAGATTTTGCTCACGTTTATTTAATTTTTTTATTTTTTTCTTGTGTATTTTAAGAAAGGGCGGAATTTGCCAACATGAATGATACAGAAAAGGGTGCCAACAAAAATGCTTTGATGACGACCGTAATTTTTACTAGATGACTGAAAAAACTAGACAATGTTATGAAGAGGCAAAAACGAAAAATTTTGCAATTCATCGACCAATGTCCAGCCCACCCATCGGATACTAATTATTTTGGAAAAAGTAAAAGGTCTCTTTTTTCCTGCAAATTGCACAAGTGCGTTTCAGCCATTAGATTTGGCCGTTATTAGAAATCTAAAATTGCATCATAGAAAGCAGTAAGTTCAACTCGCTATTCAAAGCATTGTAGAGACTAATAGCAAGAAAATATAATTAAAGGTAACATACATTCAAATTGCTCACTGCAATTTTTCTTTATTTGCTTGTTTTGCTTCGTCTAATTTAGAAATTTAAATAAATCAACACGTTGCCGTACACAGAGTTAGTTTCAGTTTTAGAAGTAAAAATCGATTATGCGACTTTATCGTTTATACGACGTTTTTCGGTGGTCCCTTCGGCGTCGTATAAACGATGCTCCACTGTATATGCCTTTTGGTGTGTAAAGCCAATTTGCTATCTTTGTTTAGGATTGGTTTAAGGGCTTGATAAGCTGCTTCTGCTTTTCTCAGGATGTTTGATACTTGAAATTTCCAGTTTAGTGAGCAATTTATAATGATGCCTAGATAATTAGCCTTGTCGACTTTGGGTACTTCCTCATTAAATAAAATGATTTTTTCATAATTGATTATTTTCTTTTTGTAGGTCTTGCGAATAATTATTAGATTCGATTTCGTGCTGTTTATCCAGACTTTCCATTTGCTGCACCAGATTTCAATGTCAGCTATATTATTTTGAAGCCTTTTGATTGCGTTATTAGCATTAAGTGACCTGCTGAGGATCGCAGTATCATCTGCTTGCAATGACGTTTGAAAATTTAGATCTCCCCTTTTCACAGGGAAGTCCGAGCAGTAAATAAGTACTGGTCCCAGTATAGATCCTTGCGGCACACCAGCTTGAATTGTTCTATTTGTTGAGAAATAGTCATTGATTTTTATTTGAAATGACCTATTTGTTAGGTAATCGTTAATGATGTGGATGAAGTCGTCTGGAATATTTTACCGAATTATTTTGTAGATTTGCCCAGTGCTCTGTCGAACGCCTTTGCGACGTCCAACATGAGTAAGGCAGTGGCTTACTTTTTAAAGAAACCCTCGCTTATAAATTCAATAATTCTGATCAATTGTTTGGTTGTTGAGAGATTTTTCCGAAATCCAAATTGTTCCTCTGGGAGGAAACTTGGTAGTGGATATAGTCGATTAAGTAGGGGAGAGTGGGGTCAATTGTAACAGGGTACGATTGTAACAGAGCAAAAATCTCGAGTGTCGGGTTCTAGATTTGGTTCCTAGGTGGCGCACAAGGTGCATTTAGCAAATCTACATGTACACCCCTGATGGCAACCATTTTTATGTACTTTTGAAAGAGTTACATCGCAAAAGATATTTTCACGCCACGCAAGTACTTTTTTTGGTATTAGAATACTATATTGTAACAAAGTAATTTTGTTTAAACAAATAAAAATTAGTAACCGAATATGTAAGTGGACACCTTNGGGGGGGGGGGGTAGGTTCTTTATCATTGAATTTGTAATTTTATCGTATCCAGGGGCTTTCTTTTTATTGAGCTTTTTAATGATATTATTTATTTCTTCAGTATCCGTAGGATTCATTTGATTACTGTATTGATTGTTACTGAAGTAGTTGTTATAAAAGGATATAATTTGCTGATCCGAGCTAATATCGTTTGGAGTTTTTTTTTTTGGAGAGAATAGTATTGTTCTTCAATACTATTAGCGAAAATTTCAGTTTTCTCTTTGTCAGAATAAATTTGTTCATTTTTGCTGTTCAGCGGCATATTTGTGGTTTTATTCGATTTCAGTTATTTTATCATCTTCCATACGGAGTTATCACTAGTATTTAATCCGATAACTTTCTCGTTCCATATGTCTTGCCTGTATTTGGTTAGGTTTTTGTTGATAATTTTTTGGAGTCTATTTATTTCTGTTTTTATGGTAGGGTTATTTGTTCGTTGATATTCTTTTCTCAATCTATTTTTGGTTTTGATTTGCTCCTTGATAGATTTCGGGATAAATTTATAATCTGTTCGAACTTTGATTTCTTCTGTAGCTTCTGAGTACGCATTATTTAAGTCAGTAGTTAGGCTTTTAATATCTTCTTCAATATCGGCTTTG